TACAATCATATAATTTGTTGGATACCTAATTATATTATATAATGTGTCACAAAATAAACTTGTATACCCCCCTTCCCAATGCAGTATTGAAAAGTAAATCATTTAAAAGTCCTGAAGATAAAATATGTTTTGAAATATGCCCTGCATACTTATTTATGCAAAGACATATAGTAATTATTGAACTACTGTGGGGCTTGAAAAAAATCTATTTAAGGGATTCGGAGACGAGAACGGTAAAAAAAAAAGCTCAGCAACGAATTCTAAATGTAAAATGATTTGCAGCATAAGACATGAGAGCACATATTATAGATAGTATTAAATATGAAGTTCACGCTTCATATAGTGAAGTCCTATGTCATAGGACTATTGTTGTAACATGGGTAAGTAACTGGTTCCAATTTATCCTGAATTGTCTTTATTAAAGAATTAGTTCCGGAGTATAACAGCTTATGTCTCTACTTGTGGGTTTCTGGTTCTGCTGTCGTAATTAGGTGATTTTTTTTTCTACATGTAGTAAAAAAGAGGGGGCTTAGTCCAAATAATTGTAACGTCCTGGATGCTTTTTGTTCTTTTTTCATGTGTGACTTCCTGCAACGTCTCTGAGGATCAAGAAAAGTAAAAAATGATATAGCACTAAAGAACGTCATGATTACATGTATCTGGACTTGGAAGGGGGAGGGGGGCTAGCTATGTATTCTTTTTTATTTCAATGTGTAGACTGTAGGAGAGTTTCTTCAGAAAAAATTTTCATTGGAGGTGTTTTTGCCATGCACGCAGGCATCTGTTTCTATCCATGAACAAGTTGTGTGTCAAATTAATTATTATTACTTGTCACTCGCATTTTTTGCTCGTCCTGGCCATTAATGGCATTAACAGCCAGTGCACGAACTCGCACGGACGTCAAATTTAGTTAGAGGGGCGATATTCTGACGCGTTTTTTAATTCTTGGTCACTCAAGTTTAGAAAGAAAGGGGAGAAATCCGAACAATTACCGACCAATCACAAACGTTGTTGCAAATTTGACCTTATGACGTCAAAGAATTTCCCATAATGCAATTATTTCATATAAATAAAAAACTACTATACCAATTGAATAAAAAATATTGCATTCAAATGACATTTTATACCAATTGAATAAAAAATATTGCATTTGAACGAAAATTATACCATTTGAATGAAAAATTATACCATTTGAATGAAAAATTATACCATCTAAATGAAAAATTATACCATTTGAATAAAAAATTATACCATCTGAATAAAAAGTATTGCATTTGAACGAAAATTATACCATTTGAATGAAAAATTATACCATTTGAATGAAAAATTATACCATCTGAATAAGAAATATTGCATTTGAACGAAAATTATACCAATTGATTGCAAAATTATACCATTTGAATGAAAAATTATACCATTTGAATGAAAAATTATACCATTTGAATGAAAAATTATACCATCTGAATAAAAATATTGCATTTGAACGAAAATTATGCCATTTAAATGAAAAATTATACCATTTGAATGAAAAATTATACCATTTGAATGAAAAATTATACCATCTGAATAAAAAATATTGCATTTAAATGAAAAAATATACCATTCAAATAAAAAAATATTGCATTTAAATGAAGAAATATACCAATTAAATAAGAAATATTGCATTTAAATGAAAAATATCAAATTTTTGCAACCAATACCATGCCATAGTTTATGTAAAATCGTTTAATCTTATTCTTAAGTTTGGTATTTATCCAACTTTACGGAGAGAAAATTCTATTACGCCCATTTTTAAGGGTGGATGTTTTACTGATCCATCTAATTACCGAGGTATAGCCCTTTCAAGTTGTCTAGGAAATTTTGTTCTAAAAGTTCTATATAGCAGATTAGAAAAATATCTTGAAAGAAATCATATTATTTGTCGTGAGCAAATTGGATTCAGAAAGGGAAGTCGAACAAGTGATCACGTTTTAACTCTTAAAACTATAATTGATAAAGCATTTAAATCATCAAAGAAGATATATGCCTGTTTCATAGATTTAAGGAAGGCATTTGATACTATTAACACAGAGGCCCTCTTTTACAAATTGTCATATTACAACATAGATGGTCCCTTTTTCAGTATAATGAGAGATATGTATAAAGAGATTTTGTACTCGGTGAAGATCTCTGAAGGTGTCACTAGTTTTTTTAATTCCACAGTTGGGGTAAAAGAAGGGTGTATCTTAAGCCCCACGATAAGCTCTCCTTGTGAGAGTAACATACTTTATACCAAAGTTATGATTTTTAACAAATCTGGTAAAAAACTTACAAAAGACCAGTTTGTTTTTAATGATAATGTTTTGGAACATTGTATAGAATATAAATATTTGGGTATAGTGTTTAAACCCTCTGGTAGTTTTACTGAGGCGGTGAGAATTGTTTTAAAAAAGCCTCAAAAGCTATATTTTGTATTAGAAAACTGTTATTTTCTGAAGATATTAATGAATTACCTCACCTAAAGCTTTTTGATGCTTGTGTTAGACCTATACTTCTTTATTGCAGTGAAGTTTGATCTCTTTATATGATTAAAGATATTACAAATCTAGAGTCAAAATATTGGTCATTGGCTACCATTAAAATTCAGATTAAATTTGCAAAAACTTTAATTGGAGTAAATAAAACAGCTGTCAATTTAGCAGCACTAGCTGTTCTTGGTATGTTTCCAGTTTTTATGGAAGCTTTAAAACTGTCAATTGGCTTCTGGTTGCATGTGATAAAATCTGGTAATAATTGTTTACTTAAAGATGTATATGTTGTGTACAAGATGTAAGTTTGTACAAATTATAATTTGTACAGGGTTTTTGTACAAGTTATAAGTTTTTTGACACATACTTGTTTGCACCAGGTGATAAAAGTTTATCTTCTAAAATGTATCAGTTTAATTTCTTAAATTCAAATTAATATACTTCGACCTAACATTTAGTGCTATTCTCCTCGTCCTCTGACTAGAAATAAGGACACCTGAATGGTTTTAATTCTATTTTCATTTTTCTCCTTATACCAAAATCATATCCATAAAAAGTCTTTTTGTGTTCTTATAATGTTTTATGTATCAATGTTCAGTTTAGACTGTATCATGTACTCATGGAAATATGACAGAAATATGCAAAACAAAAGACTGTGTACTTGCATCATTCATTTGTGTTAAGCGATTCATAAAACACTGATAACTTGTACAAAAAAATCTGTACAAACTATAATTTGTACAACATTACAATTTGTGCACAACATATATAGTTCAAACCTGCAATTAACCAATGGATTTGCAAGAAAGATTGAACAGTTACTTGCTACATTAAATTTTCACATGTTTGGGAAAATCAGGATACTACTTCAAAAAGGTGTTTAGTGTATGCACTTCATACCAAACTTAATGATTGATATCTGAATTATTGGAAAGAAAATATTTTTGTAATGAGAAATCATTGAACGGTAATTAGCTCAGAGCATATAGACAGCTTAAAGAAAATTACAAATTGGAAACCTATTTAATGTTAAGCATTATCAAAAAAAGTAATAGGACATTTTGCCAAAATTCGCATAAGAAATAACTTGAAAACGAAACCCTGTCAGTCCCAAGCACATGACAACTCGGGCCGACTATAAACATGACAATTTAGACCGACCGTGCGAGGGCTTAACAGCCAGTCAAGGTCGTTAAAAACCACCCAGTCAGTCTATAGAGACATATCCGACCGTCTATCAGATAAAGTTGGTGTATTATTTGATTGATTTGAAGAGATATATTATTAAAGACAACACGGACACAACTAAACTGAAAATAATGAATAAAAACATCATGTTCCGTAAAATTTTGAGGCTATACCTAGCCATTAGTCACGCCTTACTGAAACTCTTCACAAACTTGAAAACGAAACCCAGTCAGTCCCAAGTACACGACAACTCGGATCGACTATAAACATGACAATTTAGACCGTCTATAGAGACATGTCCGATTTGATTGATTTGAAGAGATATATTATTGAAGACAACATAGAAACAACTGGAACCTTTAATAGACACAAATTAAGCCTATTTGGCCTTTCACAATGAAAACACCCAAGGCCCCTTCCCTTGCATGATCAACAATACAAGGTCTATAAAAATGTCAAAATGACTGAAGCGATAAAACGGCTAGAGGTGTAGTAGCTTTGTCCATTACATTGTATAGTGTTTGCATATATATTGCAAATAATAATAGGTAGAAACAAACTGTTAACAGCAAATATAACCAGCAATACCTGATAAACAAAAACACTCAATGACCGAAACTATCTATTGACTCCTGGTAGGAATTATTGCCCTTAAATTATTATTTTCTTTGTCAATATGAGCATCAATGCCTATTTTCTCGGAAGTTATACTGGACAGACAGAAACAGCAGAAAACAGCAGAAATGATAATCAAGGCAAGATGTACAAAAAAGTCACACGACCAGATTGTTAAATATTGACTGTTTGTATGATTAATTGCCCTTTAATGGTGACTTAAATGAATGTTTGGGGATTTTATATTGAAACCAGTAATAGATAGAAAGAAACTATAAGAAGTAAGATTGATAGATAAATTGAAATCTACAGTGAAATTATTCTATTAGTCTAATATTGTGATAACTGCTTAATGGAGGTCCATTTGATTAAAAGAGGGATATGTCTTGGAAAATTTCGAGAAACACATTTTGAATCTGATTATTTACATAAATAGTTTCGACCATGAAGGCTATTTGACCACCATAAAAAATGTACATTCTGAATTCTTACCATAAACAAGTAGCAATATATCTTTGTAACTCTGTACTACGAAATAAAACTTACTATTATGATAATATTGTTGGAATCAGTGATGACAGACAAAGAGAATAATATTTCTAGAAAACAAATTCATAAAAAAAATAGACTAGATTGTTTATATACTGTCTTAAAGAATCATAGTTTATTTGTTCTTTCCTTTTTTTGCAGAATCAGTTATGAAGCCGTTACCAATTACAAGCCAGGCGAAGGTAAAGTTTAGTGAGAAAAAATTGATACGGTCAGCAATTTTTTTTAATTTGAAAGTGACTGAGAAAAACCACAGTTTACATTTTAAGGTCAAGTTACAGTAAATCACTGGTGTTAAACTGATCAGTTACCACGCTACCAACATGGCGGAGGTATAGAAATATGTCAGATGGTTTTCTGCTAATTTCTCCTTGTAAACGTGTTGTTTTCAAGAATTACTCAGCTGCCAGGTTGATCAGTACGGTATGATAAGTTGGTCACATCACAGATTGTTATAAACTTTCGGTGCAATACGTTTGCGCGAGAAAAAAATCCACGTTTGCGCGAAATTTACCTGTTGAAAAGTCACTACATTTTGTGTGGATTAATGAAAAAAAAATGTAAAAAATAAATCCTTGACTTTCAATAATACAATTATTCTAATGATGGGATCGTGATTTTCAAATGTGATTCAAATCTCACATTTTTATGTGACTTGACTGATTAACTTTTTTTATTGATTGCACATTCAAGTGTTGTCCCAAATTATTTTACAAATTGTATTCTATCCAAAGATGCAGAAACGGAAACTAGGAAAATACGTTCTTTTACTTTTTGCTTTAATATCGCAACACATGAGATCACGTACACTGATTTCTGAACAGCAGTTAGTTAACCAGCTTTGCATTGACAGAAATCTAGTATTCAACCCTACATCTGTAAATGTTTATTTTCAATTGTCAATGCATAATGTGGTTCGTACTATGCGGTATGGGGTTTGCTCATTGTTGAATCCGGTACGGTGACCTATAGATGTTAACTTCTATGTCATTTGGTCTCTTGTGGAGAGTTGTCTCATTTGCAATCATACCACATCTTCTTATTTTTATATTCGTAGAATGTATCCAAGTACTACAGTCAAATGTTGTCGTTTTCATCTTTAACAGCATTATTTTTGTCGAGCCTGCGAAATTCATTTCGTGAAAGCGAAACATAGCGATCCTATACTCCGTCGTCGGCGTCGGCGGCGTCAACATTTAGGTTCAGTCTGTGGTTAAAGTTTTTTTAGACATCAATAACTTTGTCAAACCTACATGGAAATTTATGAAATTTGAACAGAAGCTTGTTTATGACCAAAATACGGTATCCAGAGCGAAATTTTGAAAATATTTATTTTTATTTTCCCGTATTTTACTGATAAATGGACTTAGTTATTTTACAGTTAACATACAAGCTCAGTCTGAGGTTAAAGTTTTTCAGTCATCAACAACTTTGTCAAACGTTCATGGAATTTGATGAAATATGGACAGACGCTTGTTTATGACAATAATACAGTATCCCGAGCAAATTTTTTTTTTCATTATTTTAAATGGACTTAGTTTTTTTACAGTCCACAAGTAGATAGTCTGGAGTTAAAGTTTGTTACACATCAATAAATTTTCAAAACTTCATAGAGTTTTATAAAACTTTGGCAAAAGCTTTTTAATGATTAAGAAATAATGTCTGAAGCAAACCGTTGAAAATATTTTTTTTTTTCATTTTTAGTATTTTTCTGATAGATGAACTTCGTTTTTACAGTTAACATTTACAGACTGGGATTAAATTTTTTTGACCTGATGAATTTGTAAACCTTCATGGATTGTTATGAAACTTGGACAGAAGCTAATCTTAAAGACCAACAAATAGCATCTAAAGAAAAAGTTTGATTGTGTTTTTAATTCTGCATTTTACTGATAAATGGACTCACTTTTTAAGTCAACATTACACTTTTACACTGACATCAGCAATTGCAGGCAAGACACAGGGTTCCGCGGAACCCTTTACAAATTTTAGGAATTAAATTACACGTAAAAACTCGGGTACATTATATGTTTAGTTCGCACAAACGTAATACCATTTCTTCTTGCAAACGTAATGCTCGTTATATTCAAATTCGCGCAAATGTAGGTCGCCCAATACTTTGCACAAAACTGTGATAAATTAAACTTGAACTGCAAATCGAAAAAGATTATATATTATCTCTTTTATTTATTATGAGTAATATCATAATTATTTAATTTGTTATATGGGATCATTTGCAAGGTTTACAAGTCAGTCAAAAAGGGTTCAACTGACCTCGACCTCTTTGCATGGATCAGTGATCAAGGTTAAAATTATGTGATTAGGTCTGTTTCTAAGATATTATAAGCAGTAGGTCAACTATATTTGGCATATACAATGATTGTAAGATGTACATGTCCGACTGGCAGGTTTCATCTGGCCTTGACCTGATGTTCATGGCTCATTGGTCACTTTTAAGTTTTTGTGTTTTTACTATAAGCAATATGTCAACTATATTTTTGCTTCGCATCCCGGCGCGGAGCTATTAGTTTCAGGCCACAGACCACAATTAAATTCCCCTATTAGTTCTTTATAACGTTTTGTTTCATTAAAAAAATTGCACCCTGCATTTTTGTCAAATCTTTTGTGTGTGTAATGTACAGTACTAGTCCAAAAATATATCCAAAATTCAGAAAGATTGAACCAATCATTCTTACAAATTTAGCCAATATACATCCATACCCCTATGGACAAGTCAAGAGATTTTCCGAAAACTGTAAATATCACCTTTTTGCACCTGGCCTAATCACTCTTTCCATATCAAAATCAGTTAAAATACAACATCTAAAAGTTTATTTCACCTCTCTTCTTTTATTTCCACCCATAAAAACTAAGAAATGAGTGAGGAAGGGAAAGAAAAAAAATTAAGAAAAATGCACTCTAATTAAAAAGAACTATATTCGTGGACAACGAAAAGGACAACGAAAAAGCGGGATCATTAATTGTGGTCTTGGGCCTTCAGTCGATAAACACGCCATCTTGAAATAATTAGTTATCCCATATAGATTCTGATTGGTTGCTTTATGATGCGGTTGAGATACAGCAACAGCTATTGGCTTACATGAGATAAAGAATTACAGACTTTTTTCTCGTCTCAGGATAAGACATCAAATGCCGGAAAATTAACTATGTGTATTTCAGTTCCGATCAACTGTCATTAATTCATGTTCGTTTTATTATGCCTATATTGCACAGTGAAATTCAATATTGAAATATCAGTTATTAAAACGTGTTTATTTGCTTAGTTAATCTGCAATATGCACGATTTGTTTTGCTAAACAATGTTCCTATACAATGTTTACAAAAAGCATTATCTGTATTTTATAACTTCTGCCAATCTAGGCACACCTCCAGAGTCGTGTCTATTTGTAAATGTTTTGATTTTCAACAAGTAAAGTGAACAAAATTTTAAAAGCATGGGTGTATAACGCACAACACTGAACAGCCAGTTTAAAATTTCAGAAAAGTTCACCTTAATATATATACAAAAATTGATATTCCAAGTCTAAGACATCCATTTTATATCAATCATTATCTAAAAATACCACATTTCCAATACTAAATCAACAACCACATGCACACATATTACATTAAATTAGGATAGAGCGAAGCAGTCCACAGCTTTTAGAAAGCTCAAACTTGTGTATCATATTATGTTTGATGTACTGAAAGCTTGTATAGTGTATAAGTCGGCCTTATTTCGATGTTTCGAGATATTTTTTAAGAACACCACTTTGACTAATGTATAGCTCCCAAAAAATGTTGTCAGTGACCCAGTAATAATTTAACATCATTTAAACGGAAATTTATCTTGCAACAATATATCGAGTTTTAAAAAAAATCTATGTACTAGGAGTAGAAAAAGGATTTTTTTAAGATATTCTAGATAAAGTTTTTTGATAGATTATGTACGAATGTTGAACTACTTTAAGGATTTTGTTTCAATAATATTTAAGAAAGTATAGCATTTAAAAATGAACCATTTTTTTAAGATTTTCACTAACGAGTTCATCGTTCTAAAGTTGCATGCACAATTTTATCCAAAATCTGACATAGCCAATCTACTGTTTGTTGACTTGAATTGAAATGACTTAATTAATTACGCATCTTCCCAAGTATTTTATTTTTATTTTCAAGTGTACAAATAGGAATCTAGTAAAATCAAGTATTATTCTTATAGACATTGGAAGTTTGTTGTATATTAATTTAAATCAGTATAAATCAAATTCCAATATCTACAAAAAGAAATTGGGATATTTAGAGTTCAACTATGAACATCGTGCATTGTACTAGAACTCTAATTAATATGAATCAGGGGCCTGGTTTTCGAAAGTATCATAAGATATGTCATAAGATATATCTTACTACAAATTTTATGATCATCTTATGACTATTATAATTATGATATGTCATAGAATGTAAATCAAAGCTGTCCTAAGATAGTCATACCTATGATGCTCTTATGACTGTCATAAGTGAACATATTTTCTTTTATTTTAAATAATGATTAAACAATGATGAAAATAACTATAAAAATAATAAGTATGGAAATAATGATTAATACCATTCTTATTATTTATGAATATTTTTATTATTATTATTATAATGAACATGAAATATATATGAAAAGGAATTCAAATCTGAGTTGATGATTTGTTTAAATTTAGTTTGTATATATATATAAGTTCTAGAACTTCGCGTGCATGTATTATTATACATGAAGTGTTATTCAATTGTGAAAACTTGTAAGATTTGGTACATCGCAGGAGATTAAAATTTTAGTTGACGAAGTGGAGAAGAGAGTAAATCTTTACTATTTAGCAGACTGAGCAACACAACAACAAACAGTGCCAAAAAGAGAGCATGGGAGATTGCATGTGCAATGATAAACGCAGAAAATGATGTCGTAACTTTTATGATAAGCATAAGACCATCATCATAAGTCATGTGGCGAGGTGTCTTAAGTATACAATGAAAGTTATGACATATCGTACTTTGGAAACTTTCGAAAACATATCTTACGACTATGACATGTCATAAGACCATATGATAAGGCATGTCTTAGTCATAAGATACTTTCGAAAACCAGGCCCCTGGATTTTGTTTATATCTTGTTTTTTTTATTATATATAATTGATTAATAAGAAAACAATATTTTAGATAATAAAGAATATACAATTATCAATACTTTATTACAACCAAAATCTGGTAAAATACATATTTTACATCTGCATGGTATAAACTTTCATGACCATCTTCTAAAGTGGTTTATTTGTATCAACATTAGTTGATTTTTTGTAATCTTCATTTCTTTCTTATTATGAGTAATAGGATAACTATATTTGGTATGTGAGTACCTTGCAAGGTCCTCATACCTGTAAGACAGTTTTCGCTTGACTTCGACCTCATTTCATGGATCAGTGAACAAGGTTAAGTTTTCTTATATATGAAATATGTCAACTATATTTGGTGTATGGAAATATTTTACGATGTACATGTCAGTCTGGCAGGTTTTATTTGACCTTGACCTCAATGTTTACGGTTGATTGCTCAATGTTAAGTTTTTATGTTTTGGTCTGATAGTTGTTCTTAAACTATAAGCAATAGATCAACTATATTTGGTGTATGGAATGATTGTAAGGTGTATATGTCTTTCTGGCAGTTATCATTTGACCTTAACATTGACCAATGAACCATGAAAAATGTTAAGTTTTCCTGGTTAAGATTGTTTCTTAGATACTATATGCAGTAGGTCAACTATATTTAAAGCATTGAATCTTTGTAAGGTGTACATGTCTGTCTGGCAGGATTCATCTGACTTTGACCTCATATTCATGGTTCATTGGTCAATATAAAGTTTTCATGGTTTGGTCTGTTTCTTGTATACTATAAGCAATATGTCAACTATATTTGGTGTATAGAATGGCTGTAAGGTGTACATGTATTTCTGGCTTGGTTTATCTAATATTGGCCTCATTTCTTTTTTCATGTTAGCTTTATGTGATTCTTGTAGTTAAACTTTATATTTAGGACTATCAAAATAAAATCAATGATCAGTAAAACAGGCGAGACATTTCAGCATGTGAACACTTGTTCTAAAAAGTTTATCGGAAGATACCAAGACCTTGTTGATAAATATTCCGTATCAACTTCACGAATAATACATGATGGTCTTCCAGGTACGGACGTTGTTTATCATCTTAATTACGTGTTATAGTGATCTTTTTATTGGCTTTTTTATATTTATAACCTCTATTGTTTCAGTTATTTTTGGTAATATTCTTTTGGCGTGGCTCGGTACTTATACATTCCGCAATTGTGTTATTGTGCTATGGTCATTTTTTGTATTCTTGTCTTTCATTTTTGCTTATGTGCTTTGTCTATATGCTATTTTGTTTTTCTTTCTTGACATATTCGTTTGTTTTTATAGTGATTATGTCAACATATATTTGTTCCGCCTAACAGAAGTTCCCCCGGAAACTTTGTTATAAACAATAACATAATATCTGTTCCAATTTGATCAAATATTCTATACCCTTTATTCCGTTAGAAACAAATGTTCCAATGGAAATATATTACATAATAGTTCGTCCATTTGGAACTCTATTATGACGGAACTAATATTTTTTGACAATTACGATTATAACACAATGTTGACGGTTGTACCACAATTTTTGACATTTTTACCTATTACGTCTGTTTGTTTTGTTCACACATTGTTGTCAATATAATGGAATTTTATGCGACTGTCATACAAGTGAGAGGTTTAGCTAGCTCTAAAACCAGGTTTAGTCCACCATTTTCTACATAAGGAAATGCCTGTACCAAGTCAGGAATATGACAGTTATTTTCCATTCGTTTGATGTGTTTGAACTTTTGATTTTGCCATTTGATATGGGACTTTCCGTTTTGAATATTTCTTGTTATTTTACTTTTTACTAATGACTAATGCTTGTTTTCAAATTCTAATATGCGTAACTGATGACAAAATGGAAGTCAAATTCTATATCGAAGATTTTCAGTTTTCTTTTCTGGTGCTATGGTCCTAGATTAATTGGGAATTGCACTGTGCATGTCGTTTCCTTACAAAAAAATTCTAGCAGGTTTAAAAAGACTGCCAAATGAAATCGGCATAAAGTGCCTTTTAATCAAGGACCATAACTCCTACACAGCAAAAGTGAAAATCTTTAATATTGATCTATACCTCCGTTTTGTTATTAGTAGCAACTTATTAAAATGTGAAAAGCATTGATTGGTCTGCTCCCAAGCTTTTGTACAGAAACGATACAAAGTGCCATATCCAAATCAATCAATGACAACAATTCAAGACCATACAAAAGTGAAAATCGATAAAATCGACGTGCTTGATTTTAAATAGTATAACAGAAGCGTACCATTTTTTTTTCAAATTACACAAATCGTTTAAGAAGATACAATCAAGGTTAAAACAAAAACTGAAAGAATCCCATGAACTCCAAAAGGAACGGGTGCGTTGACAGGGTATTCCCTTCTGATTGTATAAAAAACATGGCATCACAATTTTAATTTCTAGAAGTATAAATTGGATCCCTTCTAATTTAACAAATACATTATACTGACAATGTGACCGAGATTTTTCGATGTTGCTTTTAGTTCTGTATAACACATGAAATATATAGAGCAATATGTCAAAATTACAAACTTAAATATGAACAATTCAAAATATATAAATATCATCATCTTAATGTGCAAAGTTTTGGGTGTTTTCATGTTAAAATAGTAGTTAAAAAACTTCATGGTTTTAGTATGCTCGTGTCGAGTGTGGGAGTTCGGTTCTATCTCAGGCCTTGTCAAAACAAATGAGACGGCATTTTGGGGTAAGAGCGGAGCCTGGACTGTTCGATTCATAGTCAGAGTAATATGTCTGCGCAGAGTGATATCTATTTCTGCCAACTATGTGATCTATCTGTGATTGTAACATGAGTTTTTCCTTTCATCTTCAAGTGAGTTAACTTCGGTTATTTTTAGAGGAATGCGTTAACTGAATGATTTTTGAGTTATTGCACTCTCCAATCCCGCCGTTGACCGCATCTCGTTGGAAAAGCAAAGAATGGGAGGAACTTAAACCAGTGCTCTAATTTCTATCTCGGAAGTTGTTAATGCACAGTCTGGCTCCGCCTCCTTCGAGAAGTAAAAAATGAAAGAATAAAAAAAAATGTAATAAAAATGACTATACATTTCCCTACTGTTATTTTGGTTGGATTCCTGTTTTTATCGTGTCGAAATTAAATATATTCTAAAAAAATATATGTCACTGGATTTTTAGTAATTTTCTCCATTTTATAAAGGTCTATCTCCGTGAATAGATCATGCTTCAAATATCTGTCCCTGGACCTTACTCGCAATCAACAACCATTCCAATAAATTATCCGATCTTTTTACAGTTGTTGGAAATGGAAAAATAGTATTAATTATACTTTCATATATTAGTATTGGAAAATGTTTCCTTCATGTCAGAACGTTAAAACTCCTTTGTAACTACACGTCCTTTTCAGGTTTGAAGGCAGATAATCATCGAATAAAATTTTGCATCTACCCCTCCCCTCAAAGAATTTTCGGGGAGAAAAAACTATTCAATAACACATTAATGGCTTTAAAAAGTACAGTAAAGGTTTATTGGGCAGCATTTAACATTTGGCATGTGTCATAGCCCATTAATGACAAATCATATATAGCCACGCCTTGCTCATTAACATATTTAATCCACTCAAAGCTGCGCTTTTCGTGAATTAAATACGTTAATTCGTAAAAGGCGTGCTATAAATATAACATGTATGTATCTAGTCCAAATCAATGATCATGATCCTATAACATTAATACGTAATTGTTCTGAATATGTTTTTAGTATGCCCCTGAGAACGTTTAATCTGCCAGGCGATCAGTCAAGCTGTAGTATAGCCAATTCAAGTTTGGTCTGTACAGTGTAATAACTGTCGTACAAATCAGAAATAATCTCTAACCATTTTATTCGTAGAGATTTACTACTAAGTTATTTAATAAAATGGCATGATAATTATAGAATACTTTTTTTACAGAATAACAGATCTGACAAAAGCTGGTATATACTAACCGCAGGACTTGTAATTTCAGTGACTGTAATTTTTATTTTGGACCTTCAGTTTTTTGCATCTACAAACTTTATACGCGATACACTAAACGGAAAAATGCTAGAAGTGTTATCTGCAGCTGACAATTTTACTAGCAGATTCATTGATACAATGAAACATAAATTGATAATAATTGATTCTAATACACCTACAAGTGATTCAGAACTACACGTGAGCGATCAACTCAATAAATGTTCATGGCCTCCACTTTATTTACGTAAGTACTTAAAAAAATTAAGCTTATGATACTTTAATGTATTCATTTATACAGTGAGATGCGTTGTTGCCGTCTAAGAGAGAGCGTCACAAGTTGAGCCAAATAGGCTTGAAGAGTTACTACTATATTTGAATGACTGATTCTTTCATATGAAAACGTCTAAATTTAAATTTGAATATAACAGTTATCCTCCCCTACTTAATATAGCAATCATCTTATTTGCTTTGTGCTCTACTTTATGTCTTATAATTGAATTTACAACAGCTGTATTGGTAAAAAATAGGAAATAAAACGATGTTTTAATCTGTCTCGTTGTGGTATGATGAAACGTATTTTGTCTAGTAGTTTCAGATGAGAAAATGATCGATCGTATGTTCGAGAGATAAAGTTTGAGAGAATATTTATGCTCCTTAAGATGAAATGACAACGCTAAATTTAGAAAAGGAGTAATTTTTAGAAAATTTCTTCAAAATATGGTCATTTATAACATGCATGATGGTGGATTTGCCAACTCCTTTGGACGTACTTTTTTGTATCTGTTCTTTATTTTAATATGGTACTTCGTTTGTCTTAATATCTTTTGAAAGGACAAAATATTACTTCTCAAATAAGAACATCCATAATTTTCTTAAACTAGACTGTTGTGCTACCTAAACTCTCCAAACGAAGTCCAGAAGGCTCTATTGTTTTTGCTATGTTTATAATTATTTAAAACTTTGTCTGAGTGGGTTGCAACCTTAAGTTTTGTTTATGAACTGAAAGTTAACAATAAAATGTATTCAATTAGTCTTGCCAGTGCCAAATTGCTCTCACAGAAAGTTCATCTGCATTGTAATCGATCCAGGTATATTTTAAAATGAAGGATACTGATACCGATTCGTGTTCATTACGGTTGAAACCAACATGTATGGCACGCCTGAACCACTTTTATTAATTAATCTTAGATTATCTCAGATAAACTAGGATTATATCAGATAATCCCGGTTTATCTCAGATAAACTAAGATTATCTCAGCTTAATTCAAATTTGAGAAAATCCTAGTTTATCTCAGAAAATACAAAAAATTCATTATCTGGAGAAAATCCCGGTTTATCTCAAAATATTAGAAAATCTAGGTTTTTCTGAGCGATTTTCAGATAATCCTAATTTATCTCCAGATAATTAATTTTCTCAATTTCAGATAATGAATTATCTCATTTCTCGAGAAAATCTAGGTTTATCTCGGATTCTAAATATACAAAAGAACAATGTAACGAGTGTTTTGATTGGACGACAATCCGGCGTTTAACGTTTTACTTTCTCTTTGAAACCATGATGGTGACGAATTCACTTCCTATTATAAATCGCCTAAATTCAACCTTGCCAGAGTTACGACCTTGGCTTTTTGTCTCATCGCGAAGAAGTTGTTAGTACATTTTTAATTCTTGAATGTCAACTTTATCGTCTTTCTTAAACTGATGCTGTATTTTCTGTGATTTACTTCTTTCAATATTACAAATCATCCTTTAATGTTTTTGTTTTTTTTTTATATAGAAATTCGCATTTTTATCGGGTTTACAGGTAAATTTCAGATTTACAAAAACTTTAGTTAATAAACAGCAAATCATCTTTAGTTTATGTATCTTTGATTTAAAGTTGGTGAAAAAGGACGACATCTGGGTGATGTATAATTTAGGTTTTACCACTTAGATAACGTTCTGTTTTCAATTTCAAGTACTCTATACTCGTTTCTTCAATAGCTGATCAAGGAAAAGGTCAAGACAAAAATCGTCTTTAAAAAAACGTAGATAAAAAGACGAGTATGAACAAATGCATTGTGTATACTTCAATGAGACAGCAAGCCGAGGACAAAAACAACCATGAGACTTCTTAAGCACAGACACTTGTCTCTGTAAAAATATACCTATATACCTTCACGTTTTTACAGAAACAAGTGCCTGTGTAAAGTTAAGGTATATAGGTATATATGTGTTAACATAAACAATACACATGTCTTCACCAATAGACAAATGGCTATACAATATGTCAAATTGTTTGACCTTATACACTGTGATATTCTTGTTCGTTTTGTACTTTTTCTCATGAGATAATTTAGTAGTGCTTTTTACTTTACAGAAGGACGTACCCCTCTGAATAGAACAGACATTCCAATAGAAAAACTTGATACACAATTTACATTCATGGCAGACGGACATTATAAACCTAAAAACTGTTCAGCGTATCAAAAAATTGCTATTATCGTTCCATATCGAGACAGACAATTACAACTTCGTATATTTTTGAATAATGTTATTCCACGCATATACAGACAACAATTAGAATTCGGAATCTACATAGTAGAGCAGGTAAATATATTCTTGATTTTAAAACAATTTACATTTGTCCGTCCGTAACATGTTATTTTTGTCATTTTTGTCTCGCCTTGACGGAGTCAAAAAGCGAGACATAGGTATGCTGTTTCCGGCGTCGGCGGCGGCGGCGGCGTCAACAATGTATTAGTTTGTGATTAGGTCTAGTTTAAGGTGAACCACTAGTGGTTGGTTAATGATATTTGGTATGCAGTTGTATTAGCATTGGCACATCTCATTTCCATGGAGATTATTTGGCCCTGCCCCCTCAGTCATGGTCTATTGACTTTGAAACTTTTTCTTAGTTTACATGTATTAGTTTGTGATTAGGTCAGTTTAAGGGGAACCATTAGTGGTAGGCCAATGTTAATTGTTTTGCAATTGTATAAGCATTAGCACATCTCATTTCCATGGAGAATATTTGGTCCTGCCCTCCTCAGTCATAGTCTATTGACTTTGAAAATTTTGCTTAGTTTACATGTATTTGTTTGTGATTAGATCAGTTTAAGATGAACCGCTAATGTTAAGTCAATGATATTTGGTATGCAAATTTATTGGCATTTGCAAGTCTCGTTTCCATGGAGATTATATAGCCCCACTCCCTCATCATGGTTCATTGACTATGAAACTTTTACATAGTTTACAAGTCAATGTTTGTGTTTAGGTTTGTTAAAAGGGAACGACTTATGATAAGTTTATGGTATTTGGTATGCAGTTGTGTTAGCATTGTCACATATCATTTCCATGGAGATTGATTTGCCATGTACCTTCAGTCATGGTTCATTGACTTTGAATATTTGCATAACTTACATGTTAAAGTATTGCTATTTTAATTTCAACATTTGCATTATCAAAAGTACAAAAAGGCGAGACATATCTCTGTGTTAACAGTTTATTCTCAGGAACTACAGACCAGAGCTTCCCGAAATTTAATAGCAAGCTTTATGTGATTATTCTATACAGTATGACGCGTTTTCATATTCATGACTAATCAACTACCTATTTTCTGGATACTTATATTTACACATTATTTGCCATGTATGAAGTATTCGTCGCATTTTTCACGGAACTACTGTCCATAGCTTCCAGATTGATTGATTGCTGTTTACCGCCACTTTCAGCACTATTGTGGTTGAAGAAGCCGGAGTGCCGGCCGGAGAGAACCACTGACCTTCGATAGGAAAACTGACAATCCTAGTCAATTAAGATTGGAGTCGAGTGCACCTGCCACGTGCGGGATTCGAACTCACAACCTCAGTGTTTTTATTAAGCTAGTGATACAGTAGTTCGACTACTTAGACAACTCGACCACCGAGGCCCCTTATAGCTTTCAGAAATTTAGCATCAAGCTTCACATGAGTATTATATGGCGTGTGATGCATTTCCAGATATATCACTCAACAATTTCATGTTTATTTATATAAAGTCTTAAATAAACAGTTATCGGGTTCAGTAAAATCGATAACGTTTAATGTTATTAAAGGGGCATTAGCTACGAGATATAAAAACAAATTATTATTTTTTTTTGTTCAATCATTAATGAAAGCGAAATAGATTATAGTGAAATAATAATTCGCTTTTAGCAGTCAGTTTAGTTCAATTTTGTCAAAATAAGCTAAAAAACATCGCTGATGAAGACCTCATTGAATCCGTATTCATGTGACCTTCAGTATAACCCATTAAATAGAGATTGGTTACGCGTGTATTAGTCGTGTTCAGTCATTAAAAGGAAAAGAATGTCAACATTGAAAGTGAAACAAAGGTGAACCATTTCGTTGACTGATTCGATCCACCGAAAATCATTTTTATACAGGTAAAATCGATGATTTAACCTATTTTTTTTAACCTATAACATGAATTCAATCAGACCTAGAAAAGTCCCATTGCACGAGGTCGCTATCTATTTATATTTATGTTTATGTTTATATCGGGTAATGTGACCGTCGGCATTCTTCGGAGGTCATCTCGATGGCGGATATATGTTAGCGGGTCTATGCATTGCTAATTGTTTAATTCAGACTTATTGTAATTTGGACATTCGTTTTAGTATGTTATAAATCAAATATGAGAATTTGAGTCAAATTGGTGAACATGACTGCTAATGCCCCTTTAACTACAAAGTATAAAAAATTAAAGTAGGATTCGAAATGTTTGTTTTTAAATGTCAATTTATTTTAAATTGTAGACAGCTGGGTCGTTATTTAACAGAGGTATGTTGTCAAATATAGGATTCGTACAAGCAATGAAAGACATGAAATATGACTGTGTAGTAATTCACGACTTAGATATTCTGCCAGAAGATGATCGTAATTATTATATATGTGGGGACAATCCAATACACATGGCAACAAAAGTTGAAAAATTTGGATACAGGTATGTGTTAGTTTAACATTTATGTGGCAATACTATATTTACCCCTCTATTCACAAAATTGGCTGAAAACAAATCAATGAAAAAGTATAACATAATTTGATTACCTTTTTATTATATAAAACTTGATTGTAGAGGGACGAAAGATACCAGAGGAACAGTTAAACTCATAGATCGAAAACAAACTGACAACGCCATGGCCAAAAATAAAAAGACAAACAGACAAATAATAGTACAGATGACACAACATAGAAAACTAAAGACTAAGCAACACGAACCCCACCAAAAACTGGGGGTGATCTCAGGTGCTCCGGAAGGAAGAGACGTCGTGATAAATTTGAAAATGACAATTGCATTTTGGCATGAAATAGGCATTATCTATAGTTATGCCTTTATGGAGACGTTACTTTACAAATATAAAATTTCACTACTTCATGAAATGAATGTTCCTAGTTTATAGTTAATCTACCTTGTTTTATCATAGATAAAAGTTAACTAAACACATAAGAAATTTACTTTAACGGACACATATATTTGAATTATTTATCTGCCGACCGGACGTTCATCAACAAAAAATTATTTCTATTGATGGAATTGATGACCGTTTTGCGTTTTCAACTGCATTAAATAATAGTCTGGCATTGTAATCTTTCATTTCAGAGTCCCATACCATCAGTTTGCAGGAGGAATTTCTACATTTTCCAGAAAGCAGTATGAGGATATAAATGGATTTCCCAACCAGTTTTTTGGTTGGGGTGGTGAAGACGACGAATTGTTTGCAAGGTGAGCAGATTACATGTTTATAAGGGCGGAATCCAGGATTTTTTTAAAGGGGTCTCGTTATTGCCAAAAAATGTATAAATAGCCGAGCGGAGCAAGGCGAAAAGTTAGTTTGTCGCTAAAATTGCTATATTTTCCAATCAAAAGGGGGTGTACGCCCTATACGCCCCCTCCTGGCATCCACCACTGTATATTATTCTAGACCTTTAAAGGTTATTATCTCTAATTTTTAACAGGAGCACAGTAAGATATATAGGGCACAGGACCTTCGCGCATTTTTACCTGCAACACGAAAGGACATTTGCGCTCCAAAACTATGGACATTTGCGCTTTAAACTTTGATACACCTATACAAAAATTGACCGGACATTTGCGCTTTTTACCTAATATAAGAGTTTAACTGTAAACCGGGAATTGTCATTTTGACATGTATGGATAAAACATTGAAATTTATCAGCTTTATATGATTAATGGATTTAAAAATGGAAATTGTATTCCTCTTGTGTTCATTCATTTACCCGGAAAGTCGGAGGAACGTTTCTTCGTAATATTCCTATACCAAGTCAGCAATATGACGGTTGTTTACCATTATTTCCCTTGGTTTATAAAGTCTTACTTTTGTTTCTGTCAGTTTTTATGGACTTCCTCCTTATTGAATTTACCTTTGAGTTCGGTATTTTTGTTATAATGTTTTCCATCTTTATTGTTTGTCTAAGCCTTTTCGAATTAGTGATTGAAGACCTAATAGATATAGGAAGATGTGGTATGAGTGCCAATGAGACAACTCTCCATCCAAGTAACAATTTATAAAAGTAAACCATTATAGGTAAAGGTACGGCCTTCAACACGGAACACCAAACAGCAAGCTATAAAGAGCCCCAAAAATTACTAGTGTAAAACCATTCAAACGGGAAAACCAACGGTCTAATCTATATAAAAACGAGAAACGAGAAACACGTATGAACTACATAAACAGAAGACAACTACTGTACATCAGATTCCTGACTTAGGACAGGTGCAAACATTTGCAGCGGGATTAAACGTTTTAATGGTACCAAAGCTTCTCCCTTTTCTGAAACAATAGTATAACATCACAACATAGAAAGACACACTATAAAATATCAATTGGAAGACTTAACTCAATCAAAAAACGTAAATTAACACACAATGAACGAATAAATTTGATCTGTGGTACCTGAATGCAAATACATATATAGTTAATAAAAATTATAAGGGATAAATAATTAAGGTCAAAAGTAAATAAACAGGTTTAAACAAAGTTAAAGTATGATACCACTGTGAAATGTTAAACAATATTTAGAAAATCATCACTTTTGAAAAAACCTGCGTCATAATATACACAGGTAAATGAAAATAATTTCGTTGTTAAGTATACTTCTTCTGTGTGTATAAAATCTTCCGTTTAGGAATACCAAGAAATTTCTTTAATATGAATAAAACTAATTTAACACTTGGTACATATGGGGTGAATATTAACAATAAAACTATACAATAAGTGCTAGATAAAATTCCTGTACAGTATTTAAGGAGAAATGAAATAATTTTGATGTTCATAGTACGAAGAAGTGAAAATTTGTAGTAATACCAAATAATCAAAGCTGGTATATAGACAAGATCCATGTTAACATTAAATAACAAAAAAGCATTACAAATAGTATCAACAGGTCAAATTAAAAAGAAAGTACGATTTGAGAGTACTTGCATTTACTGACAGCTAGTTAAAAGCCAAAACAATTAATAATAAAACATCATGCATCAGAGACTGAAATCAACTAAAACACATCCCAGGGAAATAGTATTTTAACGTCATGAACAGTCAAAGAAGACATGACTTGTGCAATGCCAAAAATAAATGTATCGACAGGTTGTAGGATAGTTAGGAGTGACTTCGTTATAGATAAAAAAATTAACGTGTGTGTGTCTCTATACATCCCGTTTGAAAAGAAAATACAAATTTAGTTATGTTTTAATTTGCTAATGACAAAATCTATATTAGTGCCAATGTAAACTATATTAAGAGATCTAATTACAACATTGGTACGATAACCCTTACTAATAAGTTTGTTTAAAGGTTCGATGAGTTTACACGGATCACATAGTGACAATATTACCGTAAAATTTAGGATGTGAAATACCATTTTTAATCAGTTTTCTACAGGTACAGCCAAATTTACTAATCAAATCTTCGTATCTATGAAAGAATTTAGTAAAAGTTTTAAGTAATTTATGGAAACGAAATCCCTGACTTAATAATTTACCAGTGATGCATTGATTACGTTCGTTAAAATCTATGACATCACTACAAACACGGGCATACCGAACGAGTTGTGATATATAAACACCGTATGATGAAGCCAAAGGCACATCGCCGTCTAAAAAAGGAAAATTAACAATAGGGAATGAAACTCGTCTCTTTTGTCGTAAATTTTAGTATGGAGTTTCCCTTTAGAAATTGAAATGTCTAAATCTAGAAAAGGACAACTGCTGCTGTTTATGTTAGATTTAGTTAAAGTAAGTTCTTTTGGGTAAATTTCGGTAGTATATTTAGAGAACTCTGGAAAAAATATCATCCAGATAACGGTAGGTATTGTTGAATTTATCAACCAAATGTAACAATGATGTGTCTTTACTGAGTTTGGTCATACACTGAGATTCATAGCAATACAGGAATAAATCTGCTATTAAAGGGGCGCAGTAAGTGCCCATAGGAATGCCTACTACCTGACGATACACTTTATCGCCGAAACGTACATATATGTTATCTAGGAGAAAATTTAAAGCTTCAATCATATCCTCACATTTCCAGTAAGTGTATCTAGCATACTTTCCTTTTTCGTTACAGAAAAAGGCTTTAAACGAGTTACAGCAAATAAATTTACAATGCGATTTTTCGAAAGACCATTTTATTAAATATGAAAACTTTTTCTTTATTAGATTGTGTGGAAGTGTAGTGTAGAGAGTAGAAAAATCATAACTGTCAACAGAATTAAAAGGACCATCAAAAGCATGTATTTTTTCTAAAACCTCTAAAGAATTTTTAACACTCCAAAAATAATTAATACCATTATTTTCATAAGCTTTATTACAAAAGGTAATAACCAATTCTTTGATAGTAGTAAGGGAGGTAGTAAGAAGCACTGATTGATTAGTAGTAGAAAACTTACTAGATGCGGAGATGAAACGGAATTTATAGCCGATTTTAGACCATCGGCTGTTCATGTTGACATTGAAGAAAGAGTCATGGTTGTTTTATAAGATTTGTTTCCTTCCGCATATGGCGAAAGATTAGTACTTAATACAAAGATTTCCACCAATATTATGGGCTGAGTAGCCATCACACACAAAACAAACAACAAATTGTTAGAACCACTTCATCGTGGTATCATAAACAATTTAACTCAACTCATCAACTACTTCACAATTAGATATATCAAAAGTTTTGTTGAAAAAACACAAATATTCGGTAGAAAAAAGTCACAAATTCTTTCCACTGCTAATCATTCATGTGTAAAGATATTTCAAAGATTATGCTTTGTTAGGACAGACCAAACACATCATTGAATTGGGGAAAGCAATTTTTTAGTACTTTGTCGTAATCTTTTTAAAAATATGTTTTATATTTGATTTTTTTTTTTTCAGAATAAAACGTAGCAATTACAAAATGACAAGACCATTCGATGCACACGGACATTGTGGAAGTGTTCAACACACTGGACAAAGAACTGGAAATGACAGGTAACTGTGTACTTATGCATCTCATATCTGATTCTTTTCTGGTTTGGCTCTACCTTTTGATTTTCTAGGTTATGTTAGCTGCACAGACGCTAGGGGCATGGATCCCTCATTGTTTCTTCAATTTTTTGTACATTTTAGAATTTTAAGTAAATTTTCCTTAATATTTCAACTCATTTCCCTTATATGTGTTCTTGCTCTTGTCCATTTCGATTTTTCAATATTAGTAGTTTTGACGTGCTGGACCTCTTCTCTTAATTTCCTCAAGGCAGGGAAGATTTATCTTGCCCAAAGTTCATGTCTGATGGCAAACGTAGATGGCGAAGTTCAACTTAACGCGCCATAGACTCCGATTAATTGCATATATTCATGAACTCCTATATGTTCGATAGGTTTACAGTCTTTTTATAATTTTGGTCTACGTCTCTGGACTTCTTACATGCGGTGTTGCCTCGATTTCACAGAAGCATGGGTTCAAATCCTGCGATAAGGGAAGGACAATATTCATACAAATGCATAAGCTATATTTAAGAAGAAGTATGTTATTTTTTGGTGTTTTTTCCTGTATAATCGATGGTTGTGTGATAGGGAATGTCAATCGTAGAGTTGACAAATATTTATGCACTGCTTTCCTTTCGGGAGCAAATAAGTTCACCCGAGTTTTTTTTTTTTTTTGTTAGGTTCGTGTTGCTTAATTCAGTATTTTGTTATTGTAGTTTTTTCTTTTTGTTCATTGTGTTGTTTGGTTTTTTTATTGGACTGGTGAATGTTGCAGAATGCGAGACATAGGAAGGCTAATATGGCGGTGGTGGGGCCTTTAGCTCTCTGCAAACAAAATTATTTCAGAATGTAGTAGACTTCATATCATGTAAATTGATGTAGTATGTTCCGAAGTATCCGTCTGCCATGATAGCTCCTTTGTCCAGGACCCGAGAAGATCCTTTGTCTAGGACCCGAGTCATGTTCCTTCTTGAAACAAACAAATGCGGTCTCACTTATTAGGGACAAGAAGAACAGAATTAACGACAAATAGAAACAAATAGCGACAAGAAGAAAAAATTAGCGACAAGAAGTCAAATTTAGCAACAAGCAAGTTTATATACTATCAAAACAATAAATTTATATAAAAAAAGTCAATTATTTACAGGTTATTATAATTGTTTTATAAACTTTCAAATATTGTTGCATTTAGTAGCTAAGCCGTCTTGAAGTAAATGTTTAGAAAAAAAATATTTATAAAGTATTTATGAATCTGAAAATTTTATTACAATCGCAGAATCATAATGGTGTCACAACAGTGAAGTAATCTTTATAAATAGATTATGTAAAAAAACACATGGCAATTACTCTAAATATAAGAGCATACGGGATGAGCTAATCCTTCCATCATCTGATCATACTAATTGTCCATAAAGAATGACTTAAAGATTGAAGAAAGAACTTAACTCCCCCTTTTCATTCATTCATTCATGCACTTATATACTATATATATGTTGTAAACTGTAAATATAATATTATCTCAAACTTATCCTCGATAATAAAAAAAAACTCTTTCCTTGAACAAATGTTCATTTCCTCTTATTGGTATAATAAAACAATTAAATGCGATTCTCGTAGTTATCTTTATTTGTATATTTAAAACAAACACTTTAATGCATGTTTCTATACTTGTTTATTTGAAATAATTGATATTTAGATTTCTTGACGCTTAGTTTGTTTTTTATCGCTAAATTAGTATTCTTGTCCCTAAATTATTCTTATCGCTTCTTGGAGCTTCTTGTCGCTAATTAGTGAGACCCAAAACATGTATTCTATATATGGTATATGGATTTTTGGAAACAGTAGTTTACTGGTGTCCAAGTCGGATATTTATAAATTTAGAATGATACAAATCAAGGTAAAAAAAACGGACGTATTTCAATGACATTTTTCTCATGAAAATAGTCGTCGTATCTGTAAATTTACCGGTTTTTTTCATATTCCCTATTGTGATATATTTGCTAAGTATGGATTCGCATGGCGGGTGATACATGCATAGAAGCTCAGTCTATCGATGCACTCGGTCTCACTCTGTTTAATAGTTCATGCGATTCTCTTAGTTCTTTTTGTATGTATATTCTAACTGGAATCTTGAATTTGAACATTGGTAAACTACTGTTACTTCTAAATCATTGAAGTAATTATAGAGTTAGGAATGTGGATAAATAATCAACGAAGACCTCATGCACTTCTTTTTCAACAGACACAAACATATATTTAGTTGATAACACATACAGAGATGATTAGTGGTGTGCTAAGTGTCCACCGAGGCTACCATTACACATGTTTTAACTTATAGTTGTCTCAGTTGTCCGTTATGTTGGCTCTAATTTTTTAAGATCGGCCATATAACTTATTTATTCCCTTTTCACGCAGTAATAGGTGCTTTTAAAACATATTATCCTCTAAGCTGGTACCCATTACATCCATGTTACGGTAGTTATCATCGTTTTTGATAATCTGGTCCTACCCCGATTTTTTCTTTTTTTTCCGTATCACTGTGGTATTGTCGAAAATCAAAATAGAATTAGGGAATAACAAAATGCACCTAGAACTTGAGATTGAGTGATACCTCGGGGATGATCTATTTTATACATTCAAAGACGGTAGTTGCATATATGAATTTATCGCGACAGGTTGGTATGTTGAAGAAGAAATTTTAATTTATGGATTTTTTTTAGAATGAAAATGTTACAAATTTCTCGAAAGATTTGGAAACAGGATGGCATCACTGATCTTGAATATAATCTTATAGAAAAGAGAAGAAAGCAACTGTATGTTTGGGTTTATGCGGAAATAAATATGGCGAAAGTAAGAGAGGTAGGTTAATAATTTTTTTTCTATCACTGTTACAAGTGTTTATCAGTTTTTGTCTGTAACTGTCTTAAGAAAATTTGCGATTAGAAAGAAAAGAGCTATCTCTTAAAATTAAACATGGCTTGAATACAGCATGCATTAAGCCAGCTTTTATTATATGTTGCTGAAATGGTTAGGTTTGAACACACCGACATGAGTGTTGTTATGAAACATTTGTTTTGTGCATAGCTCTGTTGGAGTTCGGCATTGAATCGTGGGAACAATACAGAAATACTAAGGATTTTCTACCATATGAATAGATTATCTTACCTGTATTTGGCAATACCTTTCGGTATTTGGGGTCCTCAATGCTCTTCAACTTCGCACTTTATTTGGCCTTTTTAACTTGTTTGATTTGAGCGTAACTAATTAGTCTTTTGTAGACAAACGCGCGTCTGGCGTACACAATTTTAATCCCGATATATATGATGAGTCATTATTATTATGACATTTAACAGTCTGCGATATTCTGATTTATGTTTGTTTCTTTTTCAGAAACTAAAAAAAATGAACAGTCCTGCAAGAAAATAAAGAAAGTCGACAGACGTCACAAAAAGACAGAAACAGTAAACAGAAGACAGTTATCTTTTTGAGTAATATGAAAAGATACAAGTTTGCATTGATCTTAACTACAAATTAACTTGCCTCCATATTAAATCGTGTATGGAGATGCAACATGATTATATCATATGTTGATGCAATAAATACGTTATATTTTAGAGCTTCTCGGGAACTAATCGCTTTCTGCGCTAGATCTAGCTGTGGATTCGTATGTAAAAATGTGCAGTACTTGTAATGTCATCAATACATAATGTATAGCTTCTATGAATTTTAATATTTGCGTTTCCAAAATATTCTGACAGTGACACCAAACTAGTTAAAGGAGAAAACAAAATAGAAAAAATAAAAATAGACCAGGTAATGAATTTATCAATTCAAAGGTAACCATCAAACACACAATGAAATATAAGATAAATATTAAACAACATATTTCGATGAAATGTCTCAATCAGCGATATAATATGTTATGACAAAAGCTTCTTGACTGAATTAAAATAGAACATTGTTGTTCAGTCATGAAGTCTGTGTTCTTTTTTTAATTTCCACAGTGTTTTTTTCATTATATTATCTAGTCAAACCTTAAACTACACACGAATTGATGATACATTTTAAGAGTCCATGCATTGTTTATTGTTTGCACGAATTGCTGATGCATTGTAACGAGTCCATGCATTGTTTATTGTTATGTAATTTTGATATACGTTTTAGTGTGTTCAAAGAGGCTATATTGTATACTATAAATCAAATATCAGAATTGGTTCAAATCGATGACAATGAATTTGACAGCTAATGCCAATTTAAAATTTGCTTTTCTCAATTTTCAAATGAAACAAAACTTTTTTAAAGATGATTTGCAAATAAAAATTTGGCATAGAACATTTTTTTAAGTAAAAAATATAAACTACTTTCATCAGTTTGAAATTCTTTGATAATTTGTCTGTCTAAAAATATAAACTATTTGACTTATAAATGCATGAAATATCTGCAACAATTACAATGTGTCCTTAGTATTCAAGAAAGAAAAGGGTATAAGATAGATATATATTTATATTTGATGGGAAACTATTTTAATTTGTTCAGTGCAGTTTCTTTGCGTCTCTAACATACATGTTACTATATACATCATGTTTTTTTACTTCGCCTTTTTGGTATGATGGGCTTTTACACCACTGTTCTAATTTTATATAATTTTGCTATTTTTTATTTACCTTTATAAATAGTACATAACTTAACATGGAAAATAAATGGTAGACTAAGATGTATATCAGCTGCTATCATAACTAAAAGCCTGATTATTGATTACTTTTCTATGCAAGGTATAGGCAGTATGCATCACTTGATTAAAGATATTGTCGTGAAATATTGAACCGTATGTCACACTTATAATACCCAGACAACATAAACGCGTTATGGCTCTCTTACTGCCCTGGATCGCTAACACTTGCCATCGAAACCGAAAGGTATTATACCAGGCCGCCAATTCCAGTTCATAACAGACTATGTGTGTTTTGTACGAACAATTGTGTTGAATCAGAAAAACACTTTTTTTTTAAATTGCACTCTTTATGATGACCTGAGATGGTTTTTATTTTCTGAATGTTCAAATGATATTGAACATTTTGTTAATTTAGACGATGATCAAAAATTTGTTGAAATTATGAATTGTCATTAAAGGATTTACCTGACCTCGACCTCATTTCTTGGATCAGTGATCAAGGTTAAAGTTATACACGATTAGGTCCGTTTCTCAGATGCTATAAGCAGTAAGTCAAATATATATGGGATAGCATGATTGTAAGGTGTATATACATGTCAGTGTGGCAGGTTTCATCCGACCATGACCTCATTTTCGTGGTTCATTGGTCTATGCTGAATTTTCGTGTTTTGGTCAGTTTTTCAAATACAGTAACAATAGGTCAACTATATTTGGTGTATGAAATGATGGTAAGGTGAACATATGTGCCTGGTAGGGTTTATTTGACCTTGATCCCATTTTCATGGATCATTGGTATTGACATGTTTATGTGATACCTTTATCTTGAAGACAATCAATATAAAATCAATCCTGCTCAGTAAAGCAGGCCAGACATTTCAGCGTGTGTACTCTTTTTGCATTTACTTTTTAAAGAAATAAGAATGTTTAGTGTCTCAACCTATACCTGCTGTGATATTTCAATTAAACGAAACATTCCTTCACATAAGTAAACTCAACATTTCTGATGTATTTTATATAAAAGTGTTTAAAGGAATGACACTGATGTTTGTTATGTAGCATATATTTGTTTTAATGTTGTTTTATATGTTTTATATAAAATAATGTTTATGTATGAAATGAGATTGTTATTAAACATAGAATCTAAACATCAATCTCAACCAAGAACATGATAATATTCCAGAACTGTCTTACATGGTAGACAGTTTCGGTAACTACTATAAAACGGTTTCTTGTAGTCAAGTTGTTAGTCTATTGGTTGTTTGTCTCGCCTGCGACGAAAGTCGCGGAAAGCGAGACATAGTAATTGCTTTTCCGGTGGCGACGATGGAGGAGGATGCGTCAACAATTGTTAAGTTTTCTGCTCAAGTCAGTTTGATAGGAGCTGCTTTTGATAGATCAATGATATTTTGTAAAAAGTTGCTTTACTATCAGTACATATCAGTTTGATGACTATTTTGGGGACTTGCCCCCTAGGTCATGGTCCAGTGACTTTGAATTAATAAATAATTTTCAATGATAACTTTTCTGCTTAAGTCAGTTTAATAGGAACAACTTGCGATAGATTAATGATATGTTCTATACAGTTGCATTGCTATCAGTACAACATTCTACAAATCTGTTTGATGACTATTTCAAGGCCCTGCCCCCTAGGACATGGTCCAGCGACTTTGAATTGTTGCAATGTTGCTCCATCAGATTATCTTTTTCGATTTTTCTGCAGCCAGGCGAGACATATCTCTGTGTCAACAGTTTATTTAAGAATAATCGAGGGTTTGTGGTCGGTTGTGCAGTCCAATATTTTGAAAATTACTGTTATCCTATTTATGTATAATGAGCAAAAACTATATATCTATCCAAATTCTGTCTTTAAACTCTAACTGTTTAATGGGAGGTCTATATTTTTCCTGAAATGTTCTGAGCTGAATTTTAATGCACGATACATCAGATTTATTCGAAGCTTTTATGGACTCTGGGCGATTTAGTGGATGACTTTATATGGGTATTTGTATATTGCTGAATACTCGGCTGTATGTTCATAAACTGTTGATATCCTTTATTTTTGTTGTTTGGTTGCTGTCTCATTGACGTATACGCCACATCTATCTGACAGCTTTTATCGAAATTACAGTTTTTTTAATTCATACCATCTTTACGAGTTTATTATTTGATGACGTTCAGAAATATGACACAATGTTTAACAGTAAATTACTCTGAATTTTAAGTTAAAATTGGAAGACTGTGAAAAAAAATTAATTACTTCTTTCAAGCATGAATGGTTATGGTTACTTAAGTGTACAGCAGGTAAATTATAAGTTTGAATATAAGCACAATGAATCTATTCTTTTCGCTTGTTGAGAACCAAAATTTTCAGTGGTTTCAAATATTGCTTTCTGATCTCAACATTTAACCAATTTCAAATATTTGATAAGTACGTCTAAACAAGTGACAACTCTACGACAGATCTATGCATTGGATCACCAGTGAAGGTGATACACGGCTGAAAACACATATTATATTCATAATTACTCTAAATATCAGCATAACAATGTTTAATCTGCAAATTATATATATATATATGATCCGTTTATTTGGCAATCGCCAATGGCAGTCAGCAGGGTTTAAGAACATTTGTTGTTCGACCTGTTAGTCAAATGCGTTTTGTTAAAATATACTTTTTCACTATTTTGGAAAATGTTGTTTGTGCTGTATTTAGACCCCTCTAACAAGAAATTTGTTTTGCATGCACACGTATAAAAATTGCGGTTTTTATCCAACGCAATCATAGGTTTGAACGTTGTTTTTAATTTAGACTTGTTCATATTTTTTCGTTTGGGCTTGTATTATATTTGCCTTCGGGTTTATATGATCCGTTCATCCAATTTGACTCCTCAAAATTCAAGAGTCTATCCTAAATTGAGGTAAATTGTATGGCTTTCCAAATACCATTTCGATTCCTAACTCACTGAAGAGACATCAATTGTCGAAATCCGGATATGGTGTACAAAAACCTTTGCACCTTTTGTTTGCGGTATACCATCTTTTCCGAAGTTTATTGTTTTCTGTTTAGTATTAAATTTATAATTAAGATCCATTTATTACATCGGTGATCCGTTTATTTGGCAATCGCCAATGGCAGTCAGCGGGGTTTAAGAACATTTGTTGTTCGACCTGTTAGTCAAATGTGTTTTGTTAAAATATACTTTTTCACTAGTTTGGTCTTTTGGAAAATGTTGTTTGTGCTGTATTTAGACCCCTCTAACACGAAATTTGTTTTGCATGCACACGTATAAAAATTGCGGTTTTTATCCAACGCAATCATAGGTTTGAACCTTGTTTTCAATTTAGACTTGTATATATATATATATCATGTACTGTGTTACAACTCTAGATTAAACTGACGAGGAAAGGTAACACTAGGCCACCGAAAGCTGAATTTTTAGTTCAGTCTAGGTGGCCGAGTGGTCTAGAGCGCTGGACACAGTGCTGGCGGTGTTGTCTCGACATCTCTTTAGCATGAGTTCGAATCCCGGCGAGGGAAGAACAAAAATTTGCTTCCTCAAATTTTCAGATTTAACATTGTTGTGCTGATATTTAGAGTAATTATTAATATAATATGTGTTTTCAGCCGTGTATCACCTACACTGTTGAGCCAATGGATGAATCTGTCGTAGAGTTGTCACTTGTTTAGACGTACTTACATATATATATATATATATATATATATATCTATGATTAGTTTATTTATACTAATAACTAGACCTAATCACAAACTAATACATTGTTGACGCCGCCGCCGCCGACACCGGAAACAGCATACCTATGTCTCGCTTTTTGACTCCGTCAAGGCGAGACAAAAACGATAATCAAAGCTCTAATTACAATGTTGAGTTGATAACCTTTTAGAATAATTTTACCCGGATAATTTCTAAATTTCCGGGCTCGGTAAACAACATCACCGTACAAATTAGGATGTGCTATTTCGTTTGTAATAAGTTTTCGACGGGTACAACCGAACTTGCAACCCAAATCTTTGTATTTATGGAAGAATTTAGTAAAGGTTTTAAGTAATTTGTGATAACGAAATCCCTGACTTAATAATTAACCAGTTATACATAGATTACGCTCATTGAAATCCAAAACGGCACCACAGACACGGGCATAGGAACATCACCGTCCAAAAAAGGAAAATTAATAATGGGAAATAAAATCGTCCTTTTTGCCGTAAATTTTTGTGTAGAGTTTCTGGTGTTAAACTGACACATATATAAATCTAGGAAAGGACAGTTACTGCTGCTAATATTTGATTGATTGATTGGTGTAAACGCCACTTTCAACACTATTGTGCTATTTCGTGGCGGTCAGTTTTTATTAGTGAAGGAAGCCGGAGAACCCGGAGAGAACCACAGACCTTCGGTAGGAAAACTGACAATCCTAGTCAATTAAGATTGAAGTCGAGTGCACCTGCCCGTGCGGAATTCGAACCCACAACCTCAGTGTTGACTGGCTAGTGATACAGTAGTTTTCGACTACTTTTTTCTCTTGATTACTTAGACCACTCGGCCAGCGAGGCCCCATTAATATTTGTTTCATTTAAAGTAAGTTCCTTTGGGTAAATATCGGCAGTATATTTAGAGAATTCTTGATTATTCAACGAAAAAATATCATCAAGATACCGGAAAGTGTTGTTGAATTTGTCAATTGAATGGAATTTAGACGGGTCTTTACCGAGTTTGGCCATAAACTGTGATTCATAACAGTGCATGAACATGTCTGGCTCTGCTATTACAAAAAATGATTTTTTTTTACTGAAATAGTCATAATCATGTAGCACTACGGTTAGATATACAATCAACTTAATCTTGCTGCTATTATAAGATTACACGTTTCAGTTCAACAAACGACGAAAGATTTCCATTTAACATAGTACACTCGATCAAAGGTCGCTCGTGTTCCTCTTATCTGTAGTAAACATTTAAAGCACCCTTTTTAAATAAACGCAAAAATTAATGCAAAGTAATAAATCAAAACGTTAAAAAGTAAATCAAAGTCTATGCCTTTATATAGGAACCATTTACAGCGTCGCTGATGGTTCGCGTGTGCTACAGCAACACGTCACAGCTTGTTTGCATACCCAAGAGTTGTGCATTTAGTTTCTTTTAGAAAAGGAGTTCAGTTTGGTTTTCTGGGGGAAATGGAAGCATACACAACTTGTTTTCCTGTCTGACAAAGTGATACCAAAATTTTATAAGAGGAAATATACTACAGAGCCTAGATATGTAAGAGTATAGTGTTAAATAAGGGTCTTTTATTTAATTAACATATTTTACTTTTATGATAACAGACCAGAATGACTAGTGGTCATTTTTCAATACTATGCAACATTATCATTGAATATGGTTGTTTCTGAATCAACATAAATACAATAAGGTCTAAAATTATGTAGATCGTTGTATTTTATTTTTCGTCGTTACTCGGCAAATTCTGCATGAAAATATACTTCAACGTTACGTTTTTTTTTTACGTTATTTTTTTTAAGAAAACAAGCAGCACAGAAGAATGAAAGGCAAAATATTAAAGTCATATAAATATGTTTTTTTTTAATAACAGAGTGGCTAATGTGTATTATAAAACACTTATATCACCAACTCAGAAGTCAGTGCTTCGGTACTGTCATGATTTATAACAAACTTTCCTTAATTCTCCGTTGATAAAAAGAAATTAGTAAGAAATAAAGGTCCCAACTCCCTCAGGCAACGTCGACCTTTGATGAATTAGGCTATGTTTAGGTCCTTTTTGTTCATAAAGCCTTCATGTGTGTCGGTCTTATACATCCTTGGCTCTCGTATAATTATGTTTGAGCATAATGAAGGTAAATTCAGAAAACCTCTTCGAATGAATGAAATTTGTCAAACGTTATTTTCATTGTACATATACTTTCTTGTAATGTTTTCCAAATCTTCAAGAAATGTACTCCTACTGAAGTATTGTCTTCGCGTGCTTCAATTTGTCGACAGCTTTCCGTATGCAGTGACCTTACATTACATCTCTCGTTAGAATTTCGGTAATTGCATAGGCAAGTACGAAGGAGACAACCGTGATGGAAGAAAATATAAACAAACGTGGAATGAATTTATAACTAACCGAT